CCCCTTCCCGACATAAACAGCCCTGAATGAATCAAACTGGACCGCTAATACAAGGCGAACACAGGGCGGAACTTAGATGACGCCCTAAACTATATAAAGCTTCCAAAATTCTTCTAATATTTTATCGTTTTAGTTTTTAATAGTTAAGTTTTATTTTGCTTTCTTTTCTTTCTGAACGTTTCATTCATTATTTTTTTCCCCATTTTTTTTTTTTTTTTTTTTTTTCAAATTTATTTTAGCTTATTGCAGTTATTATTATTACTTATTGGAACTATTTGCATTCTGGGTGCTCTTTCACTTTGGTGGCTTTGGCGTAGTGGCATATAGAACCCTGCTTGGCTTCTTTTGAGATCTGCTTGGCTTAAGAGAGATGATATGCCTTTTGTCCTGTGAGGTGCTGCTCTCTTTTTATATACGCTATCAAACTGTTGGCAGCTTTGCATTCATTACATTGCATTACTTATGAAATGTCTAGGAGTAATTCTAAATGTAACAAGAAGTAACATGGTCAAAAATAAAGGTATCAGAAAACAGGTCTTGGAGTTACTGAAGGGTAACTTTCTTTACCTTTTGGTCCATTGGAACTTGCCTAGCTCTCTCCCAAAGCTCTGCATTAGTGATTTTATCATACCATTTGATTCTCTCAGTTCTGTGCATGCGCCATTTAATGAATGAATGTAGTTTGTTAGTAATTGCCTTAGTTGTTCTCCATGTTTCTGTTCCACACAACACTACTGATTTGATATTACAATTAAAATTGTAAGATTAGTCTTAGACCTATTGTGCATGAAGAAAAAAAAGAGCGGCGTCCATCTTTAAGCTATACTTATGACGCACTCGTCGGCTCTGTGGCTAAGTCGATGCGAACACTTCGCTTCGTAATGCCGGGATGCCAGGTTCGATCCCAGCTGCGGGCAATGCGCCTTGCGTTGGTTTCCACAGTGGTATCAAGAAAGCCGACCGTCCAGAAAGCAATGGCAAACTACTGGACGTAAATTTGCCTAGAGAAACCACACAACAGCCAGGGGCTGTTAGGGTTGGTTCTGCAACGTCCTCTAGAGGATACGCAACAACCTTATGACGCACTGTGTTCGTCTGCACTGTGATGTCACGTGCTTAACACTCTTGAATCCCTCGGCAACAATATTTTAAGGCTACAAGACAATGGCTTGGTTACTGGGGTTTCTACCACACCTGTAAGGTTTTTATTATTTATGATTTAAAGATCTGAACTGCTAACCAAATCGCACATTTTCTGGGGATGTGGGAAGAGGATTAGGGGTGGGGGTGGGGGGGGGGGGGGTCAGCACCACTCACCCACTCTAATATTTTAGCCACAGGTTTTGGGAGTGGGGGTAGGGGGTGGATTGGATGGGAGGGGAGGCTAATGTGCCTGATCTCCAAGTTTCAGTCACCTCTTCAAACAGTCATGTTTTAAAAGATTATATTTAGAAGCTTCAGCCATTCTAGTCTTCGATTGTTTAATTTTTCTTTTGGTTTATTTTTTTGCTTTCTGGTTTTGTTTTGTTTTTCTTCTGAATTTATGCTAATTATTTGTATTGTTATTATCATTATTTGCATGTTTTGGAGCGCCACTGGTAATATGTTATATCGGTTACTTTTTGTTTTCTGTAAAGTCATTGATTCTGAATAGATATTCACAAATTCTGAAACTGCAAACGATACAACTCATAAGATTAGACTCTTTAGGCAACACAGGTATGTTTACGTTAATTCCAGTTTAAAGCACAAAGTGAGCATGATTGTGGTGCTATTCAAAACTCCCTGTATTGGGAGGTTGCGTGATCTCCAGCCATGGCGTCCGCCTCGAGTGCTGGAGGTCCGGGATTCAAGCCCAGGTGAAGGCTGGGAGTTTTTTTTTCACGTGGATTTTGAGAAATTTTCCCTGGTCTTTGGGTAGTGAGATCGGAGGTCTGTGTGTACTGCTGTGCAAGTACAAAAATCCCTTGGTAGTTGGAAATAAAAAAAGAGTAGCCTAAAGGCGCTGCCCGAGCATAATTTGGAGTTGAAAATTTTCCAAATTATTTCAGGATCCTCACCGGTGCTACGAAGTTCGTGCACTGCGCTGAGATTCTTCGGACTTAGGATTGAGTTAGAAGTAGAACTGAGCACTTATGGGTTACTACCCTTGTGACATAATGTTGATCCGTCGTCTAAAACTAATACTACCTGTACGGGCAGCTGGCAAACAACTGTTACACCCACATACACACACATACACATACACCCACATACACATACACACACACACACACACACATATATATATATATATATATATATATATATATATATATATGTATGTATATATCACACACACGCCAACATCACACACAGAAATACACACACACACACACACACACACATATATATATATATATATATATATATATATATATATATATATATATATATATATATCACATGTGTACATGCACACGACCACACACATAGACACACACAAACACACAGACACACACATACACAAAGACACACACACGTTCTACATATACGCACACACAAAAGATAATACAAGTAGTAGATAAAGCAGAATAGATAGGATCACAAATCCCGAAAATCATGCAGAGAGTACGTATTATGTATTTGTCGTATTAGATGCACTAATTTTACGTAAATAAATTGAATTTGTGTGTATTATTTACAATCTTAAAACCCATTGCCCGTAGACGGAACAGCTAGGTACCTAGGGTATGGCAAGTAGGGCAGATGCCCTGGACACTTGAAGAGGGCGCCAAAAAACTCTGTCCGCTGTGCATATTAAACACTGTAACAGTAACCCAGTTATGTTTTCTTCATTTGAATTTCACTTGCAAGGGAATTAAATTAGGCTTATTAATTATGCGTCGGCTTTGTGGCTAAGTCGATGCTAACGCTTCGTAATGCCGGGATGCCAGGTTTGATCCCAGCTGCGGGCCGAGCGTTGGTTTCGACAGTGGTATCAAGAATGCCGAACGTCTAGAAAGCAATGGCAAACTTCTGGATGTAAATTTGCCTAGAAAAACCACACAACAGCCAGGGGCTGTTGGGGTTGGTTCTGCAACGTCCTGTAAAGAATACGCAACTAACCTATTAATTATGCAGTGTGAAGTCTTTAAAAGTTGTCCATAACTGAGCAATGAATAATGCAGACAGCAAACATTTTATGACATATTTATTTTTATTGTCCTGGATTGGGGTTGAGGTCAACATTGGGCTGGCTGCTTTTACTTCCCAGGATCCTTTTCTAGCGCCCATTTTTTGCTGTGTCACCACCAGTTCTCGTTATTCCTAGTGGCACATGAGGCTTCAGAGAGGACTTTCCATGCTTTCCTGTCCTGTGCAATCTTCAGTGCAGTTTTTCCATGTCAGAGATGCCGCACTCAGGTCACTTTCCATCGTTCGTCTCCATGTTGTTTTTGGGCGCCCCGTTTTCTTTTTCCCGCTGGTGTCCATGTGAGAGCAGTTTTGGCGGGTTATCAGGATTCATTCTCATAACGTGGCCAAGCCATTTCCATCTTCTCTTGATTATCATATTGTCTAAAGTTTCTTGGTTTGTGACTTGAAGTAGTTTAGTGTTTGAGATTGTATCTGGCCAGAAAATTTTTATAATTCTACGTAGACATGTGTGGTGGAATGTGGGCAGCCTGTGTGCATCCTTTTTGGTCATTCTCCAGCATTCCGCTCGATAAAGAAGAACTGGCTGGGTCAACCTGGCAGCAAATGATTTTTTTTTTTTTTTTTTTGGTTGTTAAACCCTCTTGGTATGGATCCGAACCGACGACTTTTAGACCGGCAGCCTAGCGTCTAGTCACTACGCTACTTTCTTAACTGGTTCGGTCCCAAAAAAATTACTATGTATGGTTTACCTTCCTCTTTGAATATTACATATCGCGCTATCTGTTCTCAAATATTTTATATTTGGTCAGAAAATAGTAAAGAAACCTGGCCACTCTCACAATGTATTTAACTTTTTAAAAACACTTCTGAATTTCGTTTCATATAGGCTTCTTCTCTACTTGGACTTAACTCTAAAGCCTTCAGCGACTAAACGGGTTAATTATATAGGGAGAGATGTAATGATTGCCGTCATTTTTTTTTTATGAATTTGAAAAACTGTGTTTGTTATTTGACTATTCAAAGTTTATACATTTTGTTTTTATTATTTTCGATGCACGAGAAACAATCATAATTTTTTCTGCAAAATTAGTCTTAGAGAAAAATGTTGAAACATTACCGATTGAAATCCATGTATAACAACTAAACTTCTTCACATGCAAAAAATGGTTCTCTTTCTAACTTACGAAATGTGACTATGTATTTCAGTTCTATAAATATTTATTTACTAAATCTGCATTTTTTTCTTTAATGAATAGTTAAGATGATAAGGATTATATTAATTAAGTCAGATAATTAAATTGCTTAAATAATATATCACTTTAGATAATGTGTATAGTCCGCACTTTATAATCAGATTAATACGTACAAAATATAAATCTGAAATGAAGTTCAATAAATTTATACCCAGTTTGCTTATTTTTCTCAGTGTAATGATACTTATATAAGTACGCAAAAAATTTGATTAATTTATAATTTTTATGCATTTGTCTCTCAGTGTGTATAAATTTTATCTAAAAGCATGCATGTTAATTAAACTTTGTGGTTAAGTAAATAATAATATTGAGTCTCATATGCAATAATTGTTAAGCCATTTTCATGTGTCTATTCTAAAATGTGTTTATTTTATTCTGTACAATGCATTCATCATGTCTTAATTCTTTTACGTTCACAAATTTATCTAACTGCTTATTTAAACAAAGTGTTTGGCTTTTATGTGATATTCTGCATTTTGTAAAACTTTTGCGATTAACTAAAAGGCATTGTAAAAGAATGTATCGTATTTCTTTAACTGGTTTGCATGTCATAATATGATGTTGAACATTTAACTGTTTACACCATTTGGCCTCAAATCTCTTCTACAGGTCATTATAACCATTTTGGAGTCACGCTAGGTACTGTAATATTCCTCATATTTGACTTCCTTAAAACTTGCAGTTACATTTTAACAATATCACATGTTCCAGCGATGCCATCAATGTTCTAATTTTTTCCCCCTTTTTTTAATTTTTAATTTTTAATTTTTTGCTATTTTTGTCTATAATAAATACTGTAATACTCTACATATATCTACTTTTGAATCAACAAATTCTTCGATTGAACGGTTATTTTAATCGATATGGTAGCGTGATCTCTCGAACGTATTATTGTTTGAATGTTAATTTAAATTCGCCCCCATGTGGGATGCCATTTTCAAGCCCCACCCTGGCTTTTGCTGGGGTCCGTAAATATACCCGGGCCATAAACATGGTCTAACAGCTGTAAGGGGGTGAGGAGGGGGGGGGGGTTGGGGACCTCTCCACGGGTGACCCTCATCCGCATTGTGGCACTTTGTGTCACGGGGTGTTTATCGCTTGTGTGATGTACTGGTGGGGTACAACTTACCTACCTACCGACCTTTCATTGTCCTGTTGTGTATCCATAGAACTCGCATTCTACTCCTTCATTCTGTTCTGTCTAGTGCCATCTCTTCATCATCATGGATACAATCCAGTTCAAAATTATGGATAAAGTCCAGTTTAAAATCATGGATGGAATCCAGTTCAAAATCACGGATGAATCCAGTTCAGAATCATGGATTGAATTCAGTTCAAAATCATGGATGAAATCCAGTTCAAAATCATAAATGGAATCCTGTTCAAAATCATGGATGGAATCCACTTCAAAATCATGGATGGAATCCAGTTTAAAATCATGGTTGAAATTCCGTTCAAAATCATGGATGGAATCCAGTTTAAAATCGTAGATGGAATTCAGTGTAAAATTATGGATGGAATCCAGTTAAAAGTCATGGATGGAATCCAGTTTAAAATCATGGATGGAATCCAGTTTAAAATCATGGATGGAATCCAGTTTAAAATCATGAATGGTATGCTCAGTCTCCCCTGGTTCACTCTGGTGGCACACTTAGTGGTACTATTCCTCTCATGCGTCCTGACTTCCCAGATAAAAATTCACAAACCTCTTAAGTGTTATTTCCTCCAACATTGTACCTTCAATCGGCATTAGTTCGTAAACAATCTTCAGAGTGTTCTTAGGACAGTTGTTTGTGTATCTATTACAGGACGTTGCAGAACCAACCCCAGCATTTTTGTGATGTTGTGGTTTCTCTAGGCAAATTTTACCTTGCTATTGCTTCCTGAATAATCAGCTTTTTGTACCTCTGTCGAAAACAACTCAAGCCAAACCGTCCGCAGCTGGGATCGAACCCGTCACCTCGGCATTGCGAAGTTCTCAGCGCCGAAGCCACAGGCGCCGACAGTTAGATATAATTAAAAAAATTTATCTAAAATACCCTTTAAAGTTTACCTTAATTTTCAGTTTCACTAAATACCCAGGTAAAGGAGATCATGTTATCGTATTCATTGAAATGCTGTTGTTCCAACCCTGTCATTTTTTATTATTTTCGGTTGCCTTAGTTCATGTTTGTATATACTTTGACCTCATTATGCTTACTGTCGCCCTGAACAAAGCTCATCATCAGATAATCACTTCCCATTCACGATTTTAGAACAATATTAAGCACTTTATTTATTTCACATTTAGCATGGTGTCGCTTTCAGTTCCATCAATCTCTAAATAACACTTGTGGAGACGCGATGAAGAAGCGGCTATCTAGAGTTCGTATTTGGACTGTCTGGGAGAGTTTCAGTATCAACGAAAGATCCATTTTCTGGAAATAACCATCTGCTACCAGAAAAAATGTGCCTACATAACGGGTGGTTAGGAGACTTGCGTCGGGTCATGTTATCCAGCCACCCTTTCATTCATAATTTTTTTTTTTTTTTTGGGCTGTCGTAAAAGACAATTAAGGGTAACGGTGGATTCAGGGATGGCTACCCTAATTAAACAGAAAGTTTTACCAACAAAAAGCCTATAAATCCCCTCGGGGATGCCATTTTTTCTTATTTTAAAGCCTCATACTGGCTCTTGCCAGGGGCCGCAATCTATCCCGACCATAAATATGGCCTAATGACTGAACGCGGTTTTGGGGACCTCTCCACGGGTGATCCTCATCCACACCGTGGCAGTTTGTGTCATCGGGTGTTTATCGCTTGTGTGATGTCCTAGTTGCGTGACATGTACTACAACTATTACTTCAAAAAGCCAAGCAACGTATGTCTACAGTGGCTTTGTGCATGCTGGCGAAAAAGGTGTTGTTTTATGTGACTGCTGCTACAAATCAATATCGAGGCGCCTACAATGGGTACCTAGAAATGTCCTGGGAAGTAAAGGCAGTCGGCGTGAGGTTGACAACATTGTCTATCGAACGCTGTTTGGTGTGTATACAGATATGTCCGACGCAACAGTGGCATGTACATGGTCTATACTTGTATGTTTGTGACTGCTGCGCAACCATATATATATATATATATATATATATATATATATATATATATATATATATATATATATATATATATATATATATATATATATATATATATATATAAATATATATATATATATATATATATATATATATAGTATATGTTTGTGGTGGATTTCTCCAGCATGTTATTATGAAAGACTTTCCTGCCTATCCCTGGCATGTCTTGATGGAACCTGTTAGCTTCCTCTTATTTTATAACACCACCATCGCATGTGTGTGTACTGTATATATTACCAGTAACGATTGACAGCATGTATGTGACAATCTGAAATACAACATATTGTGTATGTTACAATTTTGGTGAGTATTATGTGTCTCTATTCAGGGCCGTATTTAGACACTGTGAAACATGGCAGTTGCACAGGGCGTCAATAGGTCAGGGCAGCAATGGGTCAGGGTGGCAATAGGTCAGGGCAGCAATGGGTCAGGGCGGCAATGGATCAGGGCGGCAATAGGTCAGGGTAGCAATGGGTCAGGGCGGCAATGGGTCAGGGCAGCAATAGGTCAGGGCGGCAATAGGCCAGGGCGGCACTGGGTCATCGCGGCAATAGGTCAGGGCGGCAATGGGTCAGGGTGGCAATGGGTCTGGGCGGCATAGGGTCTGGGGCGGCGATGGTTTAGGGGCGGCATAACTCCACAGCTTAATCGTTTTTAGTGTGTAAACAAAAAGCAGTGTTAACGTTTAGCTAACGAAGAGGGGGCGTAAAATAAATGACTTTAAAAGGGGCGGCATACATCCTAAATACTACCCTGTCACTGTGTATCGGTGTGTTATTAGTATCTGATATATTACTAAAGTGAATCTTATCAGAACTATTTTTTGGCCAACACTATGCTATCAATGCCAAACGTGGACACTTACATCCTCCAATGAACGTAAAATTGTGCCAACAGAGATGAAATGCATTAGAAGAGCTGCAGGAGTTTCAAGAAAAGACATGAAATCAGACGAATGCTAGGAATAAAGCCAGTCTTACAGGTCATCAAAGAACAACAAAGGAAGTGGTTTGGACACCTAACAAGGATGCCCTGGTACAATCTGCCACAGCGAGCCACACTAAAACGTTACAACGAGTATAGAGCGAGTGGAAGACCCTAGAAAATATGGAGTGATGGTATAAAGAACAGGCTTACAGAAATGAACATGTCTTTATAGTGCTCTTAACAGGGCTCATCAACGTACATTACATACCCCCCCCCCCCCCGACACTTCGATGAGGTACAAGGTGGAAGAGAAGAAGAAGATATATTATGTGTATATTATTAAAATGGACTTGTAGTTAAATTAATGTAAGGTCCTCTTTTTCCACTGGAGTATCGGACATGATATAACCATATTATTACCGGTGCCATCAGTACTGATATTCTGCACTGGCTGCTGAAGATGAGGACGAAGCATGGGGGTGCCCTGAGTGCTGTGATATCAATTCTTGACTCAAGTCAACTGGGTGGTCGACATCATGTACATAATAGACGTATATGTACAGTGAAAAAATAAACCATACTTGCCATGTCTTTTGCGCATCGCGCCTGCAATACTAGACCTACATTTTTAGAAACCAATTGGCACTCGATTTGTGATGTGGCACAAATTACGCCGCCCGCTTTTACTTCCCATGGATGCAAGAGGTATCGTTAAACACAAACAGAACAGACCAAGTTTTCCCACCATATAGTTTCGGAACCCACACGGGAAATTTTCATACTAACTGTTCAGGATGTACATCGTCATCATCATCTGTCTGTGTCGTTATACATAAGAGAGGGCACGTAGTCAAGCCCTCTATTGCCTTGTATCCGGTGCAGTACTTTCAGTAGCATCGTTGGAATACAGTCCATAACTGATGGCCTCTTTTTACAACGGCCCCAAGATCCACAGCTAAATCTTCAAACTTGTTTATAGAATTTCTAACGCCCAACGCACAAGTAGATCATTACGGTCTGAGGAGAATGGCGCTGCGGGGAGTTGCCAGGGGATATGACCGACACTCAGTACTCAAAAAAAAAGGCAAGACGGATATACAATCTAACGGTTACTTGACCAGCGGAACTGGAACTCTTTGCTTGCTGCTGAGGATGGAGACGGGGCGCTTATGGGAGTATCCCGAGTGCTATGATATCAATTCTTAATTCAACATTCACAAACGTCAAGCGACAGAGCATTTATTGCATCAAATGTTTTTCTTTTTGATTAAATGCAGTTCTTTTTCAATGCGACATAATTCAACATTTAATTTAGTGAACATTAAATGCTTAATTACCTACTTATGTTTTAAATTAATGACTACCCTTACTTATTAAAGAAATGCCAGTCTCTCTCCCTCTCTCTGTCTCTTTCTCGTCTTCCTCTCTATCTCTTCCTCTCTCTCTGTCTCTATCTCGCTCTCTCTCTCTCTCTCTCTCTCTCTCTCTCTCTCTCTCTCTCTCTCTCTCTCTCGTTGTGCCCCCCGCCTCCATCCATCTAAAACTAGTATTTTGCCTCTATTTATTTGTCATGAACTAATTACAAAATGTAGCTGCTTTAATTTATTCATTTGGAATTAATTAACGTTATTGTATGCTATACAGTATGTCAGCTGCCTTAGTAGCTTGTCATGTAACCCATAATTTCAATAATATAAACTTAACTTGGTAGTTAAACGCTTGTCATTTTATTCAGTGCTCAAATAATTGTCATTCAACTGAATGCTTGAATACGCATTAAGCTCAGTTCCTAAATATTTGTCAATTAACTCATCGCTTGAAAACTAATTTATCTCAGTATCCAAATATTTGTAATTTAATTCAGTATTCAAATACTTGTCATTTTTCTCAGTACTAAAATTTTTGTCATTTAACTTGGTTCTTAAATAATTTCGATTTAACTCCGTGATTGAATAATTGCTATTTAACACAGTACATTAATGGTTTTATTTAACCCAGAACTTATAAACTTGTCATTTAACTCAAAACTTAAGTAGCTGACGTTTAACCCAATATTTAACTACTTGTCATCAACTCACTATTTAAGTATTAAATTTTGTCATTTAACCAGAACTTACATACTTGTCATTTCATTTCCAACTTAATGCATGTCACTTAACTGAAAATTTTGATATTTGTAGTTTGGGTCATTCAAAACACAGAGATTAATGTGTCATTGTCTTGCTTAATGTTCTAAATACATAAATTATTTCTTTACTTTTTTATGACTTTTAATCATTTTATTAACAAACAATCTTTTTGATTTAATAATTACACATATGCTTTGTTTAATACCCAAACCCTATTACTTTAGTTTAAATCTTTCCAAAATTATTAAAGAAGCGTTTGCATCATTTTGCTATGTAATATAATTAATTAATATTGTTTGCATGTATATAAATGTCATCTACATAACCACCAACCCTAATTTGACTCGAAATAGCAATAATATTTAGTCTACGGAGCTTTATTTTGATGTCATTTCTAACAGATTCGTATGGTATTTTTATGACCGTCCTGAAGTACTCATTTATCGCAATAGTATTTTTTATGAAATTTCAGAAAATATAATTAGCAATTACTACTATAAATTGCTTATTAAACATTTGTAAAATTACATTTTTAAACACCACTTTTTGGACACATAAAATCGTGATAAATCAAATTGGGAAAATATGTATATTATTATACTGTGCAGTCACCATAGATTCTAATTTTGGCGTAAACTATTTATACAGTTATTATACACTTTCTTGAATGATGAGAATACCCTGGACAGATAAAAAAGAATAATGAAGACGTCTTGAAAGAAACTGGCTCACGAAGAGAACTGATTGCCCACATCAGAAAGAGACTATCTACATTCTTTGGTCGTGTGATGAGAAAGAGAAAACTGGAGTACATCGTGATAGTAGAAAAGTTGGAGAGAAGGAGAGGCAGAGGGAGACCGAGAGAACAGATGCTGGACAGTTTGACATGGCATGGAAGATCATCTGTGTCAGAGATGACTGAAAAAGTATACGAGACAGAAGGTTGTGGATAATGACTACCAACGCCACACGACATGGACTCTAATTAGAAGTATGCACTTTCTTGTAATAATCTCTATGCCACAAAATTAAAACTGGATAAGTGAATTGTATTTTGGTATCGGTTGTGGTTATTAGCAAATAAATTTTTTTTTCCTGACATTAAATTGTAAGTTGTTGTTGTTGTTGTGTTTTTGTTTTTTTTTTTAATTAAAAAAAAAAGCTTAATATTTGGCCAGATTTTCAAAGAAAACAGCCATTTTTATTTTACAAAATGTGTGTTTGTGAAAATTTCATCTAGCACCATGTAATGGTAGATTTCTATTTTCTGTTTATTTTTGCTGCCAGGCCACAACGGAGAGGAGGCGATCCCGATGTTGATGCTGAATCATGCAGACATCAAGTCAGAAAATCCAGTCAGGTCCAGGGCGTCGTCAAATGCAGATAAGACAGGTGCCCTGATAGGAGTCGATCATTCAATGTCTGGGTCCACACTTAGAATATCGGACATCAGACCAACTGGTAGGATACATTCATTTTCTTCTTCTTCTTCTTCTTCTTCTTCTTCTTCTTTTCTCTTTTTGAAACATGACCAAAGAATGTGATTCCAGCTGATATTAAGTGGTAAATTAACACGGCACAAATGTGGTCCGTTGATGACGAAAACGTTTGATCGTAATTGTGCGCGTCCTTTTATCCGTCCGGGATATTCTCATCATTCCGGTTAAAATGGACGCTAGGTAGCGGCACTGTTCGAAGCGAGGCGAATTTTTTGCTTCTGCCGGACGGTGGCCGATGCATTTTTGCTCCATTTGTAGACTGGAGGTAGTCTCGTCACTCAGGTTCTGAGTTAAATGCATGGCGTGACACTGTGAGCTGCGGATTGCATTTGGAATGTTTTTTTCGACTGTGACCAACGTAGTGGTGTGAATTGTAGATTCAGAAAATGGGGCGATGCCTGTCGTGCAATGTTGGCGGTGCCCGTATGTGATTAAAATTCATCGCGTGGACAACTGCTGATCTGTTGGCGACAAGTTCTGCTATCATAAATGATGAACTGCATTTCTAATGTTGGACTGTTTCTGTTAGCACTTCGGATGGCTACCGTATGCTTTAATGCGAGTGTATGCTAGATATGCTAAGACAGCAGTCAGTCAATCTTTCCACAAGGGACTGTGATAAACATTCTGTGAGTTTTTCGTTGGCATAGGAGCGGAGCAAAGATAGGGTGACCCGTTTGCTATTAAGCTGAAACTAAGACTACCAGACTACCAGATTCGTCTGTAAAACCATATAATTGCCCCTTCTAAATAATTGTTTACTCTTCAAACTGTCCGTAATTAAGTTCACCGTCTGTTCGGTTAATGCAAAATATGCTGCTACATTGTGTCTTATTTTTGGGTACTGTTTCCCCTCCCCCCGCCCCTTTTTTTTTTTTTTTTTTTTTTTTTTGCTGTCGATTCCAGTGGTTAAATTACAAACAGTATTAGGATAAGGCATTTGATTGTCAGCAGATGGCATCATAAATTGTTGAACAATCACGTTCGAATACATGTCGCCTGTAAGGAACATATGCTCAATACAAATAATCTTACTTCAATAGTTAACCCCATTATATACAAGGTCAATTACTAAAACATCGGTATATAGCAGTGATATTCTAAACTAACAGTTACATGACGTAATACACAAATTTAATTTTTGTTACGAAAATAATTGAGTTCAGCAAGTATAGTTATTCAAACGTGCACAATATACATAGAATTAAGGAAAATGTGTGATGTGAATAGAAGGGGAACAACTAATGGTGGGATTCTGGGTATTAAATGAGTTAATTAGTCATTGAAAACTTATTTATAGATCATTAGTTGTGTGTTTCTTTTATTGTAGATAACCAAACATCATTATCATCTACCACCTTCTCTAACCTATGGGTTGCCCCAAATGCTCAGTTTACAATGAACAACACTCTGGGTTCTGGACATGAAGACGATAAAGGTCATGAGTTAACATTTATTTGTTTCCTCGCAATTTGAGATTTGTTTTTACATTGCTTTATTGGTGACGATGGCCGCAATTTTTTTTTTAAATTAAGAACATTTATGCAATAAAATACATGTGGCTGCGGTCTGGGAAAACAAAATATCGCATACTGTATTCAGTCAGTTTTAACAAATGACTGTGACACCTGCACAATTAATACACAAGCCAAAGACTTTCTTGAGGCTTCGTAGATGTGGTTTTACAGAAGAATTCTTAGACTTCATTGGACAGCCAACAAAACTAAAAATTAAAACGCAATCCAGGTGTTTTAAGAAAAGCAATGGTGCGAGGACAACTTATCTCAAACATCAGAAAGAGACAGTCATCAGTTTTTGGTCATGTTAGGAAAAAATGAAACTAGAATATGTTTTGACTGCTGGAGAGATTTGCGGAAAATAAGACAGAGAAAGACATCACTAGAAGATTCTTTACAGTCTTTTGTCAAGCACAAAAATCAAAAGACTCCTGAATAATGCAAGCAATGAACTGTGACGTTATGGCAGTAGGAAAATTTTAACTTGAACGGTGTTGCTACTGCAAAAGTTTACATTTTACTAGCCAGTCGGAGGTTGATTTTGGAATGACCCTCGTGAATGTCGATAAAGATCGCAAATTGTGACTAGACATGATCGCCTACACCAGTCGGCTAGGCCCTTGATGATTATGCTTGGGAACTGCAGTCGAGCTGAAATCACAGGTTTAAAGACGAGAAGGTGGGGGGGGGGGGGGGGGGTTGAATGGTCTCGAGTGCTGGAGTCACCGGGTTCGGACCCCGGTGAAGGCTGGGATTTTTTTCATGTGGACTTCTAGTAATTTCCTTTGGTCTCTGGGTAGTAAGATTGGACGCCCGTGTGTATATTGCTGCGCACCTAAAACCAATTCTTTGGCAGTTGGAAATCGAAAAAAGCAGCCTAACGGCGCTGCCCGGGTAAAATGTGGTGATAAAAATCTACCCAAAGTATTTCAGGATCAGAATTTCCGTTTCTGGTTGCGAACTTGGTTTCTTTTTATGCTTCATATACTTCTGAGAATAAGTAGGGTCCCTAGCTTTGTTTTACTTGTTCTTGATAATTAACACAACATTTTAGACTGGGGAAATGTGCATAAGGTAGAGATGACCAGCTGGCCAAACAGTTAATAACGCCGGGTTGTCATGTAAGAGATCCAGATTCAAATCTTCCCTAAGGTTATGGGGATTTTCTGTTGAGGCACTGGGGATTTTCTGTTGAAGCACTGGGGATTTTCTGTTGAGGCACTGGGGATTTTCTGTTGAGGCACTGGGGATGTTTTTTAGGCACTGGGGATTTTCTGTTGAGGCACTGGGGATTTTCTGTTGAGGCACTGGGGGTTTTCTGTTGAGGCACTGGGGATTTTCTGTTGAGGCACTGGGGTTTTTATGTTGAGGTACACACAAAATCCCAACATGCATAGTCACGGTGACAGTACTAGCCATGTGGCCTTAAATCCTCATAAGAGATATAAAACCAAATGAAAAGTGAACGTTGCAGCTTTATAGCTTTCATCAGCACATTGTAAAAATTGTTTTTTTTAAAGCTACATGTACAAAAATACAAAAAATTACTTAACTGGCATGTTCCCAATAGCAGTCACTTTAATGTATAGTCTCAGAAAATGTAAATCCCTAGGCTCAAAGACCACCCAGCCTTTACTGCAAAAGTAAGTTTAAAAAAATGTAAAGATCCCTTTTCACGCCTATAGGCGCATCGGGCATATGAGCAGAGCGTCCCATATTTTTACAGACCGTCAGCACTCGGTGGGTAATGTGGTCAGCATTACGCCGGCTGTCTTTACTTTCCCTTTACATCCTGTTACCCATTTTAGGCTGGGTCGACCTGCGACACCCCGTACCATGATAAAAATCCACACAGCCAGCAGTGGGTTTTGATCGCGGTACGCTGGCTTACGAGTCGGACTCGCCACGCCAAAGCCACAGACGCATACTGCAAAAGTGGTTTTAAAAAAAGTGGTACTGGTAGGGACAGTTCCATGGACGGTACTGTTTTTTTTGGGATGGAAATGTTAGACCCTCACACATTCTGTTATATAACATGAGGTGGGGCTGCCTTCCTCGTCACGTTTCTTTTCAATTCTGGAAATGGCTTGGCACCTATTTTCATGTTTTTTAATGTTTGACCAATTTTAAACAAATTTCACTAATTCTTTTTTCATATTTCAACAGGTTTTCCAGCAAATTCATCAGATGGAGCTGTTATTGAGCCAATAATAACAATGTTACCACAATCCACCATTAGCTCAACATCTTCAACAACAGCCAATCAAAACCTGGAACAACGATCTCTAGCAGGAACTCCAACCAATAGCAGTTCACCATCAGCACCTTCCTCCAATAATCTTGTAGCTGTGAATACATAGCCCCTCCCATATTGGGTTTAAAGTCTTGCATAAACTCTGCCTCTATCAGTGTTTGATATTTCAATTAATGATAATTTTAAACACGTGCATTTGCCTTTTTGATGTTGAATATTACCAACACCAGTTTCTTTCTGATGTCACAGTTTTAAGAACTTTAAATGTTGAAGTGAAATTGTTATATTAAGTAAGGAGGTTTGTTTTAACTCTTTGGGTCACCTAAAGTTATTGCTTCAATATGTTATGTATTAGACTATAATTTTTTATACCTGTCTTTAAATCTAAATTATGTTATATATAGTGCAGTTACTTCTTCTTCTCTTCCACCTTGTACCTCAGCGAAGTGTCGGGGGAAGATGTAACATTCGTTGATGAGCTCTGTCAAGAGCACTATTAGGACTAATGTTTATTTCTGTAATACTGTTCTTAATATCATCACTCCATATTTTCCGAGGTCTTTCACTCGCTCTATACCCATTATAATGTTTTAGTGTGGCTCGCTGTGGCAGATAGTACCAGGGCATGACTCGCAAGACTGGCTTTATTCCTAGTATTAGTCTGATTTCGTAATTTCAAATTCTGTCTTTCCTTGAAACTCCTGCAGCTCTTCTAAGGCATTTCATCTCTGTTGTCACAATTTTACCTTGATTGGAGGAAGTAAGTGTCCTTATTTGGCACTGATAGCATAGTGTTAGTGCAGTTATTAGACACATTAAAATACCAGTAGGAATTAGATAGGTTAAAAAAGTATAGATCAGGACAAAGTTAATCAGTTAGTCTGAGTACCAACTTCACAGCATTTGGGTCACCCTGTAATTGCTTCATTCCTCTGCCAGAAAATAAAACACAAAATTTCCGTTGTTGTCTCTTGTGAAAAAACAAATTTGAAAAGGTTCCAATCTCAGCAAAACCAGTATCAACACGTGTATCAAATTTATAAGGCAGCAGTCAAAAGTGCAAGCCTAAGCAGTCAGCCACCGCAAATGCAGCTCATAATTGTTGGAAGCAAGTTACAACAAATCAGTATTTGCACAGGCTGTACTGAACCAGGCACCACCAGTTCTGTGGCAACAGGTCACTCAAAAGTTGTTTTGAATCCCAGTACAAAATACTTTGTGCGAATAGCATTCAAAATGAAATCCACAGTTCTGGGTCACACCATGTACTCAACAGCTGAGCAATGGAACTATTTACTTTCATTCCATATACAGAGAGAATGCAATAGCTAACTGTGACTAGAAGCAAATAACAGGAAGTCAGGAGAAGGTTAAGAATGCATACTAAATATCAGTGCCATCATCATAGCCTCATAAAAGTGTGTGTCCTTGAGTCATCAGTTGCTGTTGACCATCTGATCAGTTCCCTCCGCCTTTGTTGGTCAGATTCAATGAACTTAGATGTTTGCATATTTTGTGACCCATCCAGTAAGTCTATGTTGTGCGGATGAACTATGTACCAGGCCAATGTACTGAATATACAACTAGAAATCATCATCACCGTCATGTAGCAGGTCCTTTGCAGAACGTCGCTCTCATCAGTCTGCCTGAAAGAAACTCGGTCTCTCGCCAGTTCTCCCGCCTCATGCACTTTCACACTCAAGGAGTCACTTATATCCTGTGCCCATCTTCGTGTCGGTCGGCCCCTGCTCCTCCTTCCTGGTACCATGCCTTCTGCTAAAAGTTTTTCCAATCTGTCGTGGCGCTTGATATGACCAAAATATTTCAGTTTTTGAGAAAGGATGCTGTTTATTAGCCAATCTTCCTCGATGTTCAGATTTTTTAAGATGTCAATATTTCTCATCTTCTTTGTCCAAGATATTCTGTCAACTAGAAATAGGACAAGTAAATCTGCAAGTATAACCAGACTGCAAAAACAGCATTTTAAAAATGTAGAGGCCACACAAGAGCACTAGGCAAGATCTGTGGAAGATCTGTTAAAACTAATTAAATAACAGACAGTCAGTTAAATTCTCTATCTAGAATAGTGATCTCCAATCTGGAAAGGAGGGGGGAGGGTTTGTTCCCATTTTGGGGGGCAAGGGGGGGGGGGTTGATGCGGAAGGGGCGTAAGGAGGTTTCAAAGGTGGGGTCAAGAATTTTAAAATTGAGTTCATTTGTACATGTAATGGTCAATTTGACGCCCATCTCCCCATTTACACATCACCGGTTGTAGGTCAACTCCATTGATAAGTTGGTTTGACTAGTCTACTGTGGTCGAGCTTATGGGTGTTGTCTGGCATTTACATTTTTTATTTCCGAGAAAGAGATGGTCTGTGATATAGGTTTTGTCACTCTCTAGGAGGGTTGTGTGTTAGACCCAGTATCTTAATGTTTTAGAAGTGTTTAAAGCTCAGTCATGGTAAAATATACAACATGTGGTATGAGCACGAGTGCGGAATATCCCCGTGACCTTGTGTGAAAGTCGGATCGGTCAGTCAGTGGTCAGTAGGTCGTCCAGTCAGAAGTGAACTAGTGTGTAGCCATGTGCTAATGGGGAGACGAGAGTAAAATTTACCCTTGTAATAATCAAAAATTGCAGCTGTAACTGTCAAGACAACAAAAACAGCAGTACCGGCTTGATGTGGAGAGTAATCTCCATTGTGCCTTGTCCAACATCAGACCAACAATGCTATATATCATCAAGACAAAACAGTGCCAGCCACCACATGGACATTTCGACATTAGTTGTTAGTGATTGTTTCTTTTGTTATTTGACACTTTGAACTTTTAACAATACTTTTTTTCTGTCTATCCTTGTTTGAATCCCATTTTGTTACTTTGGGGTGAACAAGTAATTGGGGAGGGGAGGGGGGGGAATTGGGTGTCTTGCCATATACCCAACGGAAACACCACCTGAAAAAGTTAGAGACTACTGATCTAGATCAACATAATGTGTCTCAGGCAATATGTGAGACCTGGTAGAGCTTTATCCTTTCCAGGTGACTATTTTACTGTTAGCCATTATCCTTAGAAGCAAGGCATCTCCTTTCCCTTGTTAGCCCATTGGACACCATTGTGGAAGCTAGAACCTGTTAAGCTCCCTATCAGGTAGAATCTGTAAAGCTCCCTATCAGGTAGAACTTTTATGTTCCCTATCAGGTAGAACCTGTTAAGCTCCCTATCAGGTAGAATCTGTTAAGCTCCCTATCAGGGTGATGGGAAACCATGGCAGCAGGTGGGGGATTTAGCTTGAGAGCCGCTGAGAGATAGTTGTTGGCCATGGTCCCAAGTCCTCTGACTGTAGGCAGAGGATCACACTATTACAACAATGGCTAAGGCCACCTGCCTGTATGTTCACTGCCGAGAAAAAAAGCGGTGGCAAACTACCTTCTTCAGGCTGTCAAGAATAGTCATGAATTCATAATATACAAATCTTTAGGTCAGAAGCATGAAACTGATTCGTGGTTCTAGTGATCGTATGAGATGGCAAACCAGGACAGCCTATGCTTATGGGATGATGCTTTCTGTCTCCATGGGTTTAGCATCAGAGGTCCGAGGGGTAGTCAAGAGAGATGTAGAATCAGAACATCCTGTGTTCATTAAGCTTCTGGGTGGGGACCTATAAAAGCAAGATGCATTCCTTGGGACTGAAAGAGTTAAATCAGTTTATCCAGCTAAAAAAAAAAGCAAGAACTAAAGACACTTGGCCTAAAGGATTTTGTAACACTAGCATACATTGGCATTTGTCTGGGGAAAGATGCCTCTGTTTTCTGTGAAGACTTGTTTACGCCACTAGTGCATTCAGCATCCCGTTAACATCTGGCAGTCACTGCCTTTATTTTGCCACTTTTGGGGTGTAGGCAGGGGGGTCTTTGAGCCTGAGGATTTAGGGCCCCATGGCTAGTGCTGTCGCCACGACTGTGCAGGTGACAATTTTATTTTGCCTCCAACAGAAAAAAAATCCCCAGCCTTACTGAGAATTCAAACCTGGGTCTCCTGCATGAGAGTCCAGCGTTCTAACCATTTGGCCAGCTGCTCTTCGAGCATAATGTACTAGATCTACATTATAAAGTTTGTTTGCCTTTGTTGGTCAGATTCAATGAACTAGATGTTTGCATATTTTGAGACCCATCCAGTAAGTCTATGTTGTGCGGATGAACTATGTACCAGGCCAATGTACTGAATATACAACTAGAAATCATCATCACCATCATGTAGCAGGTCCTTCGCAGAACGTCGCTCTTATCACAGTCTGCCTGAAAGAAACTCGGTCTCTCGCCAGTTCTCCCGCCTCATGCACTTTCACACTCAAGGAGTCACTTATATCCACTTTACGCCACTAGTGCATTTAGCATCCTGTTGACAACTCCCAGTGACTGCCTCTATTTTGCCACTTTTGGGGTGTAGGCAGGAGGGTCCTTGAGCCTGAGGATTTAGGGCCCCATGGCTAGTGCTGTCGCCACGACTGTGCAGGTGACAATTTTATTTTGCCTCCAACAGAAAAAAATCCCCAGCCTTACTGAGAATTCAAACCTGGGTCTCCTGCATGAGAGTCCAGCGTTCTAACCGTTTGGCCAGCTGCTCTTCGAGCATAATGTACTAGATCTACATTATAAAGGACTAATTCATATGATGGGTGATGCTGTCACCACTATCCTAGCCTCTTTTTCTGTTCGGTATATATCCTGGTATTTTGAACTGGGTAGACTTATCAGCCCTCTTCATCTTCTTCTTCTTCTTCTTCTTCTTTTTCTTTTTCTTTATCTTCTTCTTTCTTTTCTTCTTCTTCTTTTTCTTCTTCATCTTCTTCCTCTTTTTCTTCCTCTTCTTCTTCTTCTTCTTCTTCTTCTTCTTCTTCTTCTTCTTCTTCTTTTTCTTCTTCTTCTTCTTCTTCTTCTTCTTCTTCTACTTCTTCTTCTTTTTCTTCTTCATCTTCTTCCTCTTTTTCTTCTTCTTCCTCTTCTTCTTCTTCTTCTTCTTTTTCTTTTTCTTCCTCTTCTTCTTCTTCTTCTTCTTTTTCTTTTTCTTCTTCTTTTTTTTCTTCTTCTTCTTCTTCTTCTTCTT